AAACAATGTGTTTGGCTACAGTAGACACCTTTTGTTCCACTAGTCATGGCACATGGTACATTTGCTATAGCGAGTAGCCTTTATGATGCAAGCTACGGCAAAAGTGGCAATGACTATGGTGGACGCTATAATTTTGTAAAAATAACTCTTTTGACTTCACTTTAAATTATTTTGTTACCCAAAAGATTTTCTATACTTTCTAAATTAAATATATTCTAATTTTAAGGCCTACTTATAACCACCTTTGATTTTTAAAGTATTTTTAAGATCCTATTTTACTTTAAAAGTATTTACCATTAACTATTGATGTGTCTAATAGTCAAGGTTGACCTTCTCTTTTCTTGACATTGACTTGAATCATATAATTAGCTGTAAATATTGTAGTTGTGTTGTGGTTAATGTTTAGGACATTATAGTTTGACTTTAAAGTATGAGCATGTGATTGCACTAATCAATGTTTACAATCATGCTTTTGGATTTTAAAGTAAGAAAAAAGGCTTACCTATAGCAAGTGCTACTTGTAAACCTTACAACTCCAATGCCTTGGGTTCTAGTAGTGAATACATTACGAACTACAAGTCTTATGGCTCTTCATGCTTAGAAAAGTTTTGTTAGTCAACTTGTTTCAACTTTCACTCTAAATGTTGTTAGTCGAAAATAACCTCCTTATCCCAAACCAAAATTTATGCATGAAGGGAGTCATGGTCATAGTCGATTTGTGTTTTCTCATACACTCACATGTCAAATATGTTATAAAATTAGTCATACTACTAGTAGATATTATTACAAGTTCTATTATAAATATGTACCTCATAGTTCTTTGTCTAATATTGCTTAAGCACATATGCTTTCTTCTGATGTCTATGTTACTATCATAAATAAGTTAGCACCCTTACTTTTAAGGTTTATTATTCTTTATATTAGTGCTGTTTATGTTCAGACATCTGTTGATGCTTAATGTTATATTGTTAGCACATTTATTTCAACTCTACAAGCTTTAGTATCAATTGCTCAAGCACTTATGGCATTACCAAAAATAGTTGCCAGTAGTTCATATTACTTGAATTTAGGTGCTACACAACGTATTGTTTTTAATGTTACTAAGATTCAAGAATTTGATTCCTCACAAACTATAGGCCAATTGCTATTGGCAATGAAGATTCATTAGGAGTTCTAGTTGTTGAAAAATCCTATATATCTGTGCCTAATTTTATATTGAGAAAGCCTAGAATTCTTCATATACCTACTATGATAAAAAAGAAAACTTGATGTTAGTATGTCAAGCTTTTAAAGATAATGATGTTATTGTAGAATTCTAGCCTTACGGTTGCTTTGTTAAGGATGTGTAGACAAGAAAGTTGTTGACATATGATCATGAGACAATAATGATGTACAAGCTAAATAAGTTACAAAACAAAAACATAGTTGACATCACACACTTCTTCAATAGATTCTCATTTTGACAAGGGTTTTTATGTTACACTTCATGATCATATTATAATGCTTTGGCATTAAAGGAATGTACATATTTCACATGATATAGTGAAACAATTTTGCAACTAAATAAAATTTTTGTTCGTTCAAAGCTATCATTTGATATTTGTCAAGCTTATCAGTTTAGGAAGAGTCATAAATTTCATATCATCTCATACTGTGTATAATAGCCCTTTAGAATTGATTATGGTTGATTTGTGGGGTTTAGCTCTTTAATTTTCTAATGGGTTCATTTATCATATTGCTTTTATTAATGTCTATAGTTATTTTCACTTAGTATACTTACTACAAAGAAGTTTGATGCTCTAATGGCCTTCAAAACTTTCAAATAACTAAGGTTGAAAACCATCTTAATACTGAGATTAAGATGTTGTAGACTAATTCTAGCGGAGGATTTGTGGCTTTTAAGTCTATTTTTTGCTATAGTTGGCATTATTCATTAATTGTCTTGTCCTTATATGTCATAATAGAATGGCCAAATAGAAAGAAAGCATAGGTAAATGTTTAAGTGAGTCTTATATTATTCGTACCTTCATTTTTTTCATTCATACTATTAGTCAAATGCTTTTATTACTATAGCATTTCTTATAAATAGATTACCTATTATAGCTCTTCAAGGTAATACCCCTTTTTACAAATTGTACAAATAGCAACTTGAATACTCATTATGGAAAGTATTTGGCTACAAGTGCTTTTCGTGTCTTTGACCATTCAATGCACATAAACTAGATTTCATTTAGCTCCATGTATTTTTTTTAAGATATAATTAACAATACAAGGGGTATAAATGTCTTAATGTAAATACTCATTTTCTTTATATATTTAGGCACATCAGGTTCAATGAAGAAATATTTCTCAACAGGGTTTTGTTTTGTTCTAAGTTTCCAAACAAAATCATTGACATAAATGATATATCTAAGCCTTCTCTATTGTCACCACTAAGGTTTCTTGTTGAATAACTAATTGTCTCTTTTCCATATGCAATACTTAATGAGTGTTCTAATGAGAATTCTCTTAACTCTTTGTTTTATTAGATTATAATGATTTAAACTCTTGTTCTGTTTTTTATGCTTCCTGTCTAGACTTTTCAAATAGGTATCCTATGGTTACAAGATCAAAAGCTAGAGTGTTCAAGCCTCATATTTTTTTAGCCACAATACTAGAAGATTCTTACCTGCTTAAGCGATTCAACTTGGCAAGCTGCCATATAAAAAGAATATGATGCTCTTATACAATTTAACACTTTGAAACTTATTCCATTACTAAAAGATTATAAGCCTATTGGGTATAGATGGTTGTTTAAAATCAATTATTATTCAACACAAAGCTTTCTTTGGTACATCAAGGATTTTCTCAAGATGTTTTTAATTTTGTTCTGAGGCATACATCAATTAGAATCTTACTTACACTTGTTGTGACAAACAAGTAGAAGATGTATCAAGTTGATTTTAATAATGCTTTATTTAATGGTGATCTTAATGAGGAGATATACTTGGAACAGCCACTTGGATTTGAAGTTTAGGCTTCATTTAAAAGTCCTTAGTTTATATGTAAGCTTTTTAACTCTCTCTATGGGCTTAAATGTGATCTTAATGCTTGATTTCATATGCTCAAAGAGTCTTTATTCACTTTAGGACTTATTAATCCTCGTGCATATTCTTGTATGTTCATTAAGAAAACTAATCACAGTGTTGCATACATTGCTATTTATGTTAATGATATCATAGTTACAAGAAGAAATGTAGATGAGATTCAAGCCTTAATCCGTGAGTGAGTTAGCTTTTCTCTCTAAAGGACTTAGGTGACTTATCATTTTTTCTTAGTATTGAGTTTAATCACCTGCCACATGGTTTTTTATTGACTTAGAAAATATATATTCTTGAATTGCTTAAGCATCCTTTATAACTTATGCCAATCCATCTCCTACTCCTATGGTTACTAGTGTTCAAATTTCTAAAAATCCATATTCTTTTGAAAGGGAGGCTCTTAGAGCAAAGAAAAAGAGAAAGAGCATAATAAGCCTTCTAATAATCTAAAGTTGTAACATATTTTTGCAGGCTCTCTACAATATGTATGCTATACTAGGCCTAAAGTTTCTTATGCATTAGGCAAGGTAAGTTAGTTTATGCAATTACCTCTTGTCAAACACTGAGAATGTGTTAAAAGGATACTATTCTATCTTTGTGGATTTGTTAATCATGTCTTACTAATAAAACCTGTCACTCATTTCACTGTTCAAGCCTTTACATATGCAAACTAGGGAGGAGACAGAGGAGATAGAATATGAACTAGTAGGTTTTGTGCCTTCTTAGGTGCAAATACAATCACTTGGTATTGTAAAAAACAAGTAGTTGTTTTTAGGGGTTCTACAAAAGTAGAATATCATAATCTTGCTATTGTTCTTTGTTGACTAAAATGATAATTCTTGTTATGAAAACTCTAATTATTTAGTTGGATAACTCTAGTACTATCTCAATGGTAGCAAATCCCAGTCTTTACTGAAAATCCAATTTAAACAAATAGAACTAGATCTTCACTTCATTAGAGAAAAAGTATTGGTGTATTAGTCAATGTAAGCTATATCCCTTCTTTTGAACAAATTGCAAATATATTCACAAAGCATTTTCCCTCTATGCCATTCTCTAACTTGCATTAAACATTACCAGTCAAGAAAATTATGTTGTTGTCAAGGTTGAAGACTAGAGTTTTTTTTTTTTTACTTTTTAAGGTCTATAAGTCAAGCCCAATTAGGGCCAAATGCTTATGTACTTAATTTCATTTTTAATGAGATTTGTTAGAGATTAGTTAGAGTCTTAATAGAATGATTATATATAAATGTGAGATTTGTATTTGAATAATCTTGAATCAATCAAATTGTGTTTCAATTCAATTATTCTTTATTCTTCTTTCTCTCCTCTTCCTTACATTTATAATTGTATAATACTTTTTCATTACTCATACTCTTTTCTCCTCCCAACTCTATAACCCCACTTAGTTGCTAGCCTGAGGAATGACAATGATGTCTCCATTCCATAAGTTTGTATATTTGGTTATACATTATAATGGAATTTCTATTCTCATTGAAAAGCTTATCATCAAGTTTACTAGAATTATGATACTTGACAAATACCTCATGTACAAATAATTGCTCCCCATCAAAGAATCCTTGTTTAGACAAGATTACCCTCTATTTTTATCCATCCAATCCCCCTTCAAGCTCTTTATCTCAATCCTACTCTACTTTTCACTGTTGCTATCAATTGGTCAACTAAATAGTAAACAAAACAGGGTCATGGTAATCAACATTCCTGTCCATTCCTAACGTGTCTTGCATTTCTCTCCTATTCTCCATCCCTTGGAATGAAAGATTGTGTTTTAATTTGTTTGATTTATACAAGAAATGATTTGCAATATATGTTGACAGTAATCTAATGTTTAATCATGACACGCGAAGTATCTTTACTCTTGTATGTTGAGTTTGAATTCTTGTGGCATGTGGACAAAACACTTGGCTAAATTAATAAGGGTAAAGGAATAAATTTAACCATCAACTATCTTTTAGGAGTGTCTAGTAGCTTAAACTATGAGATGGTGCAAAATAAATTATGAACTTTTAAAAATAGAGAAACTAACACCTCCCATTAAATCTCAATAGACAGATGTTAATTGACTATATCTTGACCTAATCTTTGTCTACTTGGTTATACATATGGCATTGTCCTTTGCATCTCTTGCCTCCCTCTCGTTATCTTCTTCTTCTTCCTCTAACATGAAATTAGCCTCTAGTTGTAATGGAGTAATTGAAGAGGAAATTGAACCAAAAGTCCTCTGCTTTACCTAACTCAAAATTGAAATAGAAATGGTGGGTTAGATAGCTAGAATATGCAAATCTCACTCATCTCATTTCAATCAAAGGCAGATTTGGCTTTTTCATACCAACTGATAAATCAAAGGTAGAAATGGAAGGTCTAAAGTAACAAAGTAATAACCTATAAAAATCACTAAAGTAGCTTAAACAAGAGCAGGCATTGTCGTAGACTCATAATAGTAAAGAAGATTAAAAATGCTGAAGATCTGATTTTTAGACCATGTGTTGTTGGCAAAGGATGATGGAGAATCATTACTATCGAAGGGCCATTACTATCGCTAATGAAGGGAGGGAGAACACCATGAAGGTAGGAGGGAGAACATGATAAGGTTGATGTGATTCCTCATTTCCATCTTCTTCGTTAGCACCGACGTTAGTTTTATCTAACTCTAAGAAGAAAATTAACTAGGCTAGGAAGAAGAAGTAAGTGAAGTAAATCTTGACTGAATATTTGTTCCCTCCTCTTCCTCTTTGATTTACTTGTTATTCTTCTCTGCTTTCTAAGGTTAGGGTTGAGGAATGCCTTCTCATGGATAACAACTCGCTTAAGAACCTTGCTACTTTCATTTTTTTTCTTCCCGAACTTTCCTCAATGCTCACACTAAACAAGGTTTTCTCTGCTTGCTTTTTCCTCATGAATATATTAGAATTTCCTATAATGAAGTTAGTCAAAGTAGCGAAGAAGTGACAGAAAGAGGGGGAGGAGAGATATTTAAGGGATAATTGAGTGAGTAGACCACATGTGGCATGCCAGCTCTTCTTTCTAGTCAAAGAATTAGTCAAACAAATGGTCATTTGATTGAAATTGATGGAAGGTGCTAGATGGTCTGCTTTTTATAGCAGATGATTTTCTTTGCACCATCCAATAGTACAGGCTACCTAGTGCTACTCGAAAATAGTTTGGTGGCTAAATTTGTACCTTTACCTAATTAATAATGATCTTATAAAATATGTTCATAGTTTCTTGAAGTTTAGTCATCATCTAATCTTCTTTTTCTTCTTCCTATAAAGCTCATGAATATTCATATCCTTCCAAGATCCTTGACATTTATTAAAAGTGTGGTATTAAAGATCAGCATTACAAATTCTATCACAAATACAACTAAAACTTCAAAACAAAACAAGTACATACATGAAAATCATCAATATATAAGCTATAAAAATATAGTGTGCTCAATCCTCATATTCAGCACAACGTGTAACATTGCTAAAAGTTTTAACATTTCATTTGAGGAAATTAGTTCAAATAAAAAGTGCAGAAGATGATATAGATCTAGTTTTTTTGGCCACTAAATATGTTTTGATTTGATTTTTGATCTTTACTATTGTTCTTCTTTTTTGTTGGGATACATAGGACTATATTATAGTTATATTTTGAATAAAATTTCCTTACATGCATTCAAAAGTTGTTTAATAATTTGATGCTTTATACTTCATTCCAATTTCATCAAATTTGTAAGGGCTTAATTTGTCCAGCAGTTTTATTTAAATTGTTGGGATTTAAAGAAGGATTTGACTATTTATTTTTAGAGTATAATTAATTAATTTTACAGTGTTACCCAATTCACCAAGCCTAATCTAGTTAAATAAAGTACTAAACTATAATTCACTCATAAGTTGAAATTTTAGACGTTGAACCTATATATCATGCATATCTAGACATAATCAAACAAAAGTATACAAGAAATTAAAACATACCTTAAGTTTACTATAATAAATCCTACAATTACAGCAGCCTGATGAAGTGATGTCCTCCATCTAGAAACTTGATCTTCTTTAGCCTTCATTCTATTTATAAGATCTTCAAATGCTTCTCCAAATCTTCCATTTTGGTGATGTACTTCAGATGGATCTTCATTGACAAATACTAGTAGAACTACTTGACCCACAGTGCTATGACAATGCATTATCTATTCTAACTCTTGCAAACACCATCTAGAATTAGCATAGTTTCTTGAGAAAACAATTATGGAAATTTTTGAGTTCTCAATCTCTCAAAATAATTACATAACTTGATTTCCCTTTAAGAGTGTTTCATCATCTTTGAAAACTTTGATTCCAGTATTTGTTAAGTAAGAATAAAGATGTGATATGAAAGTCCCTCGAGTGTCTTCACCACTAAAACTCAAAAACACATCATTTACCTTGTAAAAATAATTCCATTTTAATTATATCAATAATGTATACATATCCATACTCCGTACAACAAAAAAGTTGTGATTTTATTTTTTGGGTTAAATGGCTTTTAAACTATATGTCAAAGAATATCTGGAACCTTAAACTTGTTTTAGTTCAAATCTTTCCCTTCATCATTTCAAAATGATACAATATGGTCCCTACGGTTAACAAATGTTAACTTTGATCATTAGTTGACTAAAAATTACAAAAAATGACCTCAAATAAAATGACTAATATACACAAAATATCCATGCATGTGCATTTCTACCAAAGCATGGACTCACCCTGTTTGTTGAGGTTTTACTGCCAGAACCTCACAATAAGCATGAAAATTTCATCTATATTTATCACTTAAAATGATAAGTACTATCAGAATAAGAAGAAAATAATATTAACATATTGATATAAGATTTGATATAATAAATCTTGGCTTACATTCTATCAATACATTTTTATGAAACCTGAAGGTAATGATATCAGAAAAGAGGAGATTTACAACAGCAATAAATGTTCAAAAATTTTTCCTTTTCATATCGAATTCTATCTCTGGCTATTCCTCCCTCTACGAAAAAGGATCATCCTCTTCAAACAACATTTTTAGTGAAGAAATCCACTTCTAGGAAATTAATCAAGATATTGAAGACTTGAAAATTTCAGTTGGTAAAAGTGCCTCTATAAACCTGAAGGAAAATTCTTCACCAAATATGATTATACTATCAAATATGTTAAACATGTAATTCTTATCAACCCTTCAAAAGAAGAATTTTTCTTGTATCTAATGAATCCATTAAACATCATTGTAAAAATTATAAATTTTTGCACCTTGGATGTGTCTAAGTTGTAATCAACCATCTAGTTAGAGAAGGATTAGATGTCTCTTGTCTCCTTTGTCTTAAGGATACCCGACATAAGTTATTTTCTAACTCACTGTTAGGTAATGTAGAACATAGCCTACATGCAAGTTCAATCTATGTCAATAGTTACCCAAACAGAATAATCATGAACTTTTATATGAAAAGAAGATCTATCTCTGTGGCTTTGCTGTATAGAATCTAATATAAAGTCACGAACTCTTTAAGTTTTTGGGTTTTGATACTAAAGGAAGATATTTATATCACTGTATTCTTAATTGATAGAGCCAAAGCAAACGTCATCCTTACGTCATCCTTCCCAAAGTCATTTAATGATATGATGTTAACTTGCTAGGCAAATGGGTTATGGAAAATGCAACCCCTGCCTTACCCCAACCAACTCTGATATTGGGAATGTTAGTCAAACACCTATGGGAATTGTAAGATTAATGTTTAGGAGAAATTATTTCAGAGAAATCTCTTTTAGAGTAGGAACAATAGTTAATGACTTTAGAACTATGATATTAGAATTACCTAGACACTCAACCACTTCAAACATCTCAGTCTATACACTCAACCATTCACCTACAAGGTATGGATACTTCTTCCAATATCTATAGACCAACCCATTAAAGAGATGATATTTCTTCCTCTAAAGAAGAAGAAATTACTGTCATTACAAAAAAACAGGATTTCTTATTTGAAGTCATTAATGCTCTTACAAATCTTGAAGAAAAGAGACATTATCTTAATAAACTCAAAAAAATGTTAGAAGAAAATCCTTCCCCTTCCTTTAACTATAAGACTCGTCAAACTATAGCCAATAAATATAGTTTGACATAAACCTTAAAAAGATTTAAACAAATCTTAAAACTAGCCACAATTCAGGATCTTCAACAAGAAATAAATAATTTAAAAGTCAAAATTAAAGATCTTAAAATAAAACAACAAAGACAAAGTTTAGCATTAGAAGAAATAAAACTAGCCAATTTTCAAGAACCAAATTTTGAAAATCAACCTAAAAATGATGAAGAACAACATGAATAGAATAATGAAAATGAAGAACTTTTTGAACCATGTCTTAATTTAATCTTGAGACTAAAACTCTAGAAATTTTACAATGGGGTTAGAATCATTATTAACCAAGAATTTGTTCTTGATCAAATAGCTCTATTTGACATAGGAACATATTCATATTGTATCCAAGGTCTTGTTCCAACCAAATATTTCAAAAAAATAAAACCATCGAAAGATTAGGCATAGCTAGTGGGTCTAGGCTTATTATCAAATAGAAAACTAAAACATCAGTGTAGAAAACCAAGGATTTCAAATCCAAACTCCATTTCTTTTAGTAAAAAATATAAAAAATAAAATCATTTTATGAACTCCTTTTATTAGGAAGCTTTTTCCTTGTTCCATTGACACTAATGGAATAACCATTCAACATTTAGGAAAGCCAATTCTCTTTGAATTTATTTCCAAACCAATAATTAAAGAATTCAATCACATTCTTATTAAAGAAAAACAAATTAGTTTCTTAAAAGAAGAAATTTCCTTCTAAAAAATAGAAACCCAATTAGCCAAACTAGAAGTTAGACAAAGGGTCCAAGATTTTATAATCAACATTCTGCAAAATATATGTTTTGATCTCCCTAATACTTTTTGGGAAAGAAAGAAACATTCGATTAGTCTATCTTATGAAAAAAGATTTCCATAAAACTAAGATCCCAACAAAAGCCAGACCAATCCAAATGAATCAAGAACTTCTTGAATTTTGTCAAAAGGAAATTCAAGAACTCCTTCCAAAAAATTAATCAGAAAGAATCATAGTCCTTAGTCTTGTGCTTCCTTTTATGTTAGTAAAAATGCGGAAAGTGAGAGAGGAGCTCCAAGCTAATGATTAACTACAAACCCTTGAACCAAGCACTCTAATGGATTAGGTACCCTATTCCGAATAGAAAGACCTTCTTAACTACTTACATTTGGCAAAAATATTTGATATTTCAAACAAAAATAAGGTTTTTAGAATATCACATCCATCAGCGAATGATTACTCCTATTGATCGAACCATCTAATTTATTGATAATTAAATTCCCAAATCAAATCATTGATACAACTCCAAAGATTTCTAGGATGTTTAAATTATGTAGGAGAATTTGTCCCACAACTAAATAATCTTATTAAACCTCTCTATGATCGACTTAAGAAAAATCCACCCCATAGACAGACACCCACACTCAAATTATTAGACAGATCAAATCAAAAGTTAAAGAACTATCATGTCTAGCTCTGTCAAACCTACATGCATTAAAAATAGTAGACGCAAATGCCTCTCACATTGAATATAAAGGAATCCTCAAACAAATATTTGATGGGAAAGAAAGCATTATTGCCTTCACATCAAGCCATTAGAATCAAACCCAGCACAATTATTCAATAGTGAAAAAATAAATTTTAGCCATTGTTTTATGCATCACAAAGTTTCAAAGTGATTTATTAAACCTAAAGTTTTTAGTTAAGGTTAAATGTAAATCAACTAAAGATGTTTTGCAAAAATATGTTAAGATCATTGCATCAAAATAATTTTTTTCTAGATGGCAAGCTCTATTAAGTATTTTTTTATTTTGATATTGAACACATTCGAGGCTCTACAAACTCTCTTCCAGACTATCTCACTAGAGAATTCTTGCAAGGAAGGTAAATCATGACTCTAAAGAAAGGGAAGGAAAACATGGAAAAAATTGATCTAGCAGCATTCTTGTCAATTGGGCCATTGACCCAAAAATTAAATAAGGCATCAACTCAAAAACCAGGGTCATCTATCCTCATAACCCTAAAGCAAGAGGCATTATCCTCATCAACCCCAAAACCATTAACCTCAAAATCAACATCTTCTAAATCGATTTCCCAAACAACAACCCCATATCTTTATGCCTTTTCAATTCAAGCCATCCAGGCCTTAGCCAACTAAGGATTAATTCATTTACCTAAAAATTCATGGGCAGATATTGTTGAGGAAGAAGACTCAAAAAATGATACAATATCTCTTTCTCAGCTTATTGAGAGCCTAAAAAATAAACAAGTAAATATGGCCTACCCAAAAAACAAACAAATAATTGAGCTCCCAAAACTTGTACAAAATCTTAAAACTAGCAACATCCCATGGCTTGATGAGGCTATAGAAATTGTCCAAATTAAACTAGAATTTTTTCCAAAAAATCCAAACCATGTAGCCTATCAAATCTTTCCTCCAAGGTTTCACTTCAAGCCCTCAACCTTGAACAAAACCCAAAAAGTTTATGAATTTATCTTAGTGGATATGAAATCTATAACCTTGAGACATAACCCAGACAAGAAACATGGAGTGGTCAATAATACCACATGGACCCATTCTGCATTACAAATATTAAAAGTTCTTACTCCTACTGACTAAGGTCAAAACCCTAGTAAATTAAAGAAATTCTCAATCAAATTTGATCCAATGGAATAAAACTATTAAGATTACATTGATGCCTAGTAAAACATGTTTTAGTACCAAAACAAATACTGTCATCATACATGATTCTTTTATTTGAAAAAAAATATTGCAATCCCTATAAGTTTCCCTAGTGGTTTATAAAATGGTGAGATTAATTTGGATTTACTGAGGAAATTTTACCTCCAGCCATTAAACAAGAATTTTTAGATTTTAGATCAAAAATTAACCTTATAGATGATCCCTTTCCGGCTCTTCTACATTTTTTATCAAAAATATCATTGTCTTGGATTTTTGCTTTGCACTATAGACATACCAATCCACCTAGTGGATACCCTATTCTCTAAAGGGTTCCATAAATGAGGTGGTATGTAGACTTTCAAGACTATAGAGCCGATGTCTTCGCAGTCCAATCATGGTGCAAAGAGAACCCCCAATGTCTCATCACCTTAGAGACCAACAAGTTTCTCAAGCAAAAAAAAAAAAACAGATTCATACATGTTTGCCTTCAACCTCAGATAGAGAAAACTTTATTAACCAGCTAAAAAATGCACTCTTCTTTTCGGAAAAGAAAGGACAGTCGATTGCTGCCTCTGCCTCTATTGTAGAAAGCCTAGAAGAAGACTTTGCACAAGAAAATGAAGATGATTGCTTTGGCATTAACCTTAAAGAAGATTAATCATTGAAAAGAATAAAAAAATTCAAAAAAAAAGTTTGATCGTTGACCATTGACAATTGACCAAGTGCTAATCGTTGACAAGTGACAACATGTAGATCATTGGATGAAGATTGATTAAGATAAATACTAAACCATTACACTAAACAAATCTTGACCATTAGATGTTTTTCAAATACCTATATAAAGCCTTGTAATGTCCCTTGCAAGGATAAGTATTTTGCCAGAGAGAAAGGGAGAAGAGAGAGGTCTTGAAGAGAGTTCTCTTTGTAGCCTTGCTTTTCATTCTTCAATAAAGCTTTTTATTAACCTTCTTCTACCTTCTTGCACTTTCTTCTTCTTCTATTTCCTTTACTTTCTTGCACTTCATCTTTTGCATTTGCTTTCTTGTACTTTGATTTTTGTCTAGACTGTGCGGACTATTGCTGTTTTGGCTTTGTTTTGAATTTTTGTTCTTTATTTTTTGCAACTTCTGTCAAGATATATGGTGCAGACTACCGCTTTTCTGGCAATCTTTTGGTTTCTTGCATTTTCTTTTTTGCATCTTTGTTTTAGTTTCTGCATGTTTACTTTATAATTTTAATAATTTGTGATCTAACCAAGTAGTCCTTCTGCCTCCTACTTCTCTCATCCATTCTTCCTTTCTTCCTTTCCTTTTTCTTGTTGGTCATTTTCTGTCATTTTTAGATCCTTTTTAATAATTTATTGGTTTTTTTATAAATTTTAAGGTTTTTTCTGTCATTTTTTGATTAACTGTTAATGGTTAAAGTTAACTTTTGTTAATAACAGCGGTCATATTGTATTATTTTCAAAAGTTGAAGGAAAATATTATTAAAAAAATTAGGGTCTCAAACACTCCTAGACCTATAGTGAAGGGGCTCATTTACCATTTAATCCTTATTTGTTCTTAATTATATATTTTAATTACTGAATATATTGAAGATGATAAACATCTAGAAAAGTTAACTTGGTAAACATCAGATCATGACAGGCAAGTACTCACCGGTGATGAAAAAGGAATTCCGAGAATGAAGGTCCCTCTTCTCTTCTACAGTAAATATGGCAACTCGAAATTAAAGTCAAATATTAATTAAAGAGGATCACAATGTCTTAAGTAATTGAAAATAATAATCAAACTCAGCCCTGACCCTGATTGCTTACCATCGGCTACCACAAATCTATTCAAATTGAATCTTCATTATTGTACATTTCATATATTCGGATAAAAAGTAACATAGTAGAGAAATTAACTAATACTAATCTATACTGATTAAATAATTTCAAATTCAGAAATTCTAATTGCAAATAAAATATTTAAGTTATAGGTGCAACTCTCAGTTTATAACAAGATTCATGATTTAAAAAAAAAAAAGTTAATCTTGTTGCAAATGGTTCATTTGGTCCAATGGCATTCTACTTTAATTTGATGCAAGGTGTTGTGGATTCTATTCCTATAAGACCCAAAAATGGTGTGTGTATGTTGGTTAGTTAGGAGTATTGTGTGTTGTGTGCTAGGTAAAGTAAAATAGACTCTGATCTTGCCTCTATTTTATTTTAATTACAGATGCATCACTTCTATTTTTCAAACCTATATAAACTTCTTTTGGAATCAATAGTGAGAAAACACAAACCTTCTTCATACTTATAAGATTTTAACAAAATAGAAGGAAAAATGACTCCATTTTACCCTTAAAACAACGAAGATTAATTTCCAGATTCACCTGTGCTGCGGCGGTGGCCATTCTATGTCTGGTGAAAATTTTTCTCTTAGTCGTCGTTTCAATGCTTCATCAAATGGCAGTGCTGAAATACGATCCAAGGCTTCTTCCTCATGATCACTTTCCGAGTCTTCTACTACCACTTCACTTTCCACCTCATTTTTCCTGTCAAAAACATTTTTATTATTATGTTATAAGGCTCATATCGGGAAGCCTTGTAAGTAAACAAGTTTTATGCGTTCAAGGAGCTTTCCCATTCAATAATTTTTGGAATGAACTCCTCCTTTAAACTTATGCTCTTAACAATATTGGCCCTTTCATTTAGAGGCTATATTATGTAGAGGGCTATTTCCACAAAGGGTTCTGATCGGTAGAACTTCAAGTAAAGTGGAGTTATTGAAGACGTCCATCTAATAAACTAGTCTTTAAGAATAACCTCTTCTTTTAAATTTGTTCTCATAACATACTACAGATTGTATGTAATGTTGTATAGAAATATATTTTTTGGCCATGACGAAATCTGGAGTTAATATATCAAGAAGTATTGATATTTCTTACTTCTCTTAAGACGCACACACGCATATGGTGATTGTGTGTGTATGTCTTGAAAAGATATAACAAACATCTCAGAGAAAGCATTAAATTACATAAATCTTTGCCATTTATTTTAAATGTAGAATATAATCTATTTTTTTTAATATTTTTCTAATTAAACTAGGCGTCTAATGTAATTTTGTGACTTGAAAGAACCAGTTTGTGTAAATTTTGGCTCTAAATAATATATATTTTTAGTGACTAGATTGACACTTTTGAAATGATGGAATTACAAAAGTATAATGAAAAATGACAGTTAGGTTGCAAAATTTTAAATTAGTTACAGTTAGGTCCCTGACAAAATTTTTCAAAAAATAAATTATAAATATTGATTTAAATAAATATAAATTCAGAAGTTTCAATGCATATAACACATTTAAGTTTCAAATGTAAGTCTCATATTATATCCGGATTCTTGTTCATAACTTTTAAAATCAATCTTCACAACTTATTTTTTTAAAAAACATTTGTCAAGGTGCTAAATATTATTAATTTCATATCTTCCAAAATATAATTGGGGGAGAGAATCACATTATTCATAATCACGCATACAAATATGTTAATTTCATACAAAAATTTTCTTTTATATATAAAATAAAGATTAAAAGTTACTTTAAACTACATCCATATAGGAAAAAGTATATATTTAATGCACGACCCTTAAATTGAACTAAGGAAAAAAAAGAGAAAGGAAATCACCAATCTAGATCCACTTCACTTACTAAAAGGACTATGTATATTGTATTATGTATTTGAAAAGAGAAAAAAAATGATGACGTAAAAAGAAGAGTAGACTTCATAAGTAGTACTCCCTCCATCTCAAATTATAAGACACTTTTAAATAAAATCTAACTTATCAATAAATCTAATTAAATACACTTAACAAACTTTTCTTTCCGAAATAAAAATATAAACTTTTAAAAATACCCATTATTTAATATATTGAAAAGAAAATGGATGGAAATTAATTATAGAAAGAGAAAGGATAATATTAAAATTAATACATTTAATGAAACTCTAATCTATTCAAAGTATCTTATATTTTGGGATGGAGAAACTCCTTTAAAAGTGCCTTATAATTTGAGATGGAGAAAGTAATATAGTAATAGTAATAATAAGTATTTTCAATTTTCGGATTCAAAAACATAACTATGTATGCTTGAATCCTTACCTATTGTAATTGCAGTCGAAATGGTACTCATTTTGACATTTTTTAAATTTATATAGTTAGAAGAGATGAGAGTTATGGGATCTACATTAAAAAAATATGGGATGTGGGCTATAGTAAAAAATTAATATAGAAAAAGATTTTAATTTACACTCCTTTACGTCTATAATATATGATATTTTTTATAAGTTTGCTTGGTTTAAAATTAAAGCATTAGGTATATTTTATATATTTTTCAATTATATCATTACTTTACACCCTCCTCTGTTTTTACTTTATATTATAGGGCGTCTCCTAGAAGAATTTGTTTGTTATTAACATTAAACACTTGATGGATACTAATTACATTTTTGTAATATTATTATTATTATTTAAACTTATTAATTATGAGAAAATATATAATGTAAATTTAAAAAAATAATTTAAAATTTTATAATACTATTTGTCTATCTTTTTTTTAATCAAAATCATTAAAATATCTCTTCCATTCTATTCTTATATATTTCCCTAAAATTTAAAAAAAATTAATGTCACAGGTATAATATTTAATTAATGTAAATTATTTAAATTTTAAATGTAGGGGTGGAACGACGTCATTGTTGGAGGCGGCGATCCTAACCTAATAGCCTCCATGGTGACCAGTCCCGTTGAATTATACAAGAAAGCTCAGGAGATCGGAGAGCCTTCAAAAAAGCCATTGAACCCAGGGGACGCCGAAAGCGCGCGCTTGGCAAGCAAATCTGCCGCTTGATTCCGTTCCCGCTCCTAACAGTTCTCAGCACATGAAGGAACGTGGACCCACTTAAAAACTTATTATTATTATTATTATTATTATTATTATTATTATTATTATTATGCCCAGAAAGTTAAAAGCTTATTATGGGGAAGTGATATTGTTATTTTGATATACGATCAAATTATTTGCAAGGATATCGTATGACAGAGATCATTTCAATTTTTTTAGTTTGTTATTATAATTATTTTTACTGTCCATTAAAATACATTTTAGTTAGATACTTTAATATTTTTTTTAAATGGCAAGTTATATTAAAGGATTTTTAAAAAATTATAAATTTGAAAATATTTATATAATATCAAACAATTTTTTTCATTTAATGATATTCTATAATTTATAAAATTATTTTAAAAAATAAAATTTAAACACACATATATAAATATATTAAATTTTAAATTTTTGGCCAAAAAATATTTTAAAATTGGATCTAGAGCTGGTTCTGCCCTTGTTTAAAAGTAACATTATAAGACTTACCATGCCAGCTGTGGTGGAGAGGGGCTGCTAGGTGAAGAAAGGGAAGATGAGGAAGATTGCAATACAGGTGACCGTGGCAAAGGCGACGGCGACTGCGACGGCTGAAGCAAAGGAGGTGGCGACCTTGGGTAGCTAGGGCAGAGAGAGGGAGACTGTAAGTTTTTCATCAACATGATTATATCAAAAGTTGGCATTTTAAAATTAACATGATTATATCAAAAGTTGGCATTTTAAAATTAACATGAGACACAGTACGATAGAGCTACTAATTCAAGCTAAGCTCGAACCTGCTTGAAAAAAATTTAGGGTCAAGCTTAGAAAGAAAATTTTTTTATGTTCATGCCTATTAGGGCCAAGCCTGAATAATAAAAAATATTTATTTTTAAAAAATATATAAAATATAATAAATATAAATAAATTCTTTATGTTTTAGTTCATTTTATGTTAAAATATTATATATTTGAGTCTTATATATCATTTTGGTATCAAAAAAATATATTTTATATTTTTATAAAATAAAATAATAATTTTGAAGTAAAAAAATTAATTAAAAATAATTTTAAAAAATAAAATTTAGATATTCGAGCCACCCAAAGCCTGAAGGAATTTGGGCTTTTCAAAGAGTTAAGCATATTTGAGCTAAGCCCGAATAAGCCCAACTCGCCTGAATTCCCAGCTCTAGTCAGTACATATGCACATATGAATTTTTAAAATTTTGATCCTCAATATGACCTTATTTTTCAAAAAGAAGAGGTAACATTAATAGAATAATTAGTTTATATAATATAAAGATTTAAAAGCATATTTTTATTTCACACGAAAAGCATATTTTTATTAGATTAAATTATACAGAACTCATTTCATTTTTAAGAATTGCATTTTTTTCAAACTATAATTTTCTAAGGCAGAAATATATATAATACTGCCTATTAAATGTTTTTTTTTTCCTTGCAAGAATTAATTTTGGGTATTATATAAGTTGGTTCAATAAGTGGATGGTAAATTTTCTGTCACGAGATCTACTCTTTTGTGAGTGGCTAGATTAAAAGGAGTGTCATTTAGTTAATTAAGATATCCTTTAATAAGTTTGTGGAGAGTTTATTATTATTATTATTTCCATATGTCTTCATATTATTAGAGACAATTTTATTTGAAGCATAATCATTTTTTTGAAGATTATATTATAAAGAAAAAAATTACAATTAAATAAAGTTTCATATAATTTTTCTTTTAATAAATATATTCTTCATTTTGAATGTTCTATCACCATAAAAGTAAACGCATATAATAATTTAAGGGATAATAAAACTTTTAATCCTCAAATTTGTGCAAAAAATAGAGGAAAAAGAGAAGAACGAAGGGGCTTATGATCCTCTCTATTAGGGCATGATTTGCTAATGCTTTAGGATGATTTAAAGCTTCTAATCACTAAAGTAAGCCTCCTCTACTATTCCTCTTCCTCTCTACACCATTTTTAAGTTAGGATTTGTAGTTGAAGGATGATTTTTAGACTTTGGGTGCTTTGGATCTGAACCTATTGACTTAAATGGAGTTAATAAGAGTTGTTTGAGTTATCTAAGCGTAAAAATACTAGTTTTATGCGTCTATGAGAGTGAGCTCTCAATTATGGATGAAATTGTGTATTTAAATGCCATAAATGGTGGTGCTTGAAATAGGTGGCTGCCGTTGATGTTGATTAAGGATTGTATTAGTATTAGTTGGAGCTAATAGAATTAATAAACCTAATGTGGTGATTAAACTCAAGAGTTGAGAGTTTTTGGTGATTAAAATGTTTAATTTTGAAAGTTGGAAGTGAGTAATTTATGACATTAATGATGTTTTCGGATTGTTGGATGATATATTAGTGATTATTTAAGTTGTTGAGGGATAAATGAAGTTGATGGAAGTTAAGGAACTCATTGAATGTAAGGTTGATCTTGTTTTAGTTATTAAAATATGAAATTAGATGTTGGAAGTGGTAATTTTAATGATTATTAGTGATGGGTGTTAATGTAATTGTAAACCAACCTCACGAAACACAGGTGAGCTTGAATTTAGCTCAGAAAGCATGTTATGATTGAGGGGTAACTTTTGACCTCTTAAAAGTTTGAAGTAACTAGGGGAAACTTAGTTTATATTGATAAATATTAATTGATTATTTATTGAAATGGTTGATTTAAAACATGTTTAATATTTTTAAACTCATGATGCAAATTTGACATGGTTGGTGATTTATTATTGTTGCAAATTATATGTATATTCATATACATGCTAATAGCGATGAAGAATGAGAAAAGGTGATTACATACTAGTTGATATGTAGAGTGAGTTGGGTGTGAGTATGGATATGTAGATTCATGACATAAATGGTTGATTAGAGTGCATATACATACGTGATATAAGTGCATAGTATGATCATTGGCTGGAGTTCTCTTAGAGAGGAGAGTAGTTGTTAAACCCACATAGTATTAGCAGTGGTCATTGGAATCAAGAGCTTACCTTGGCACCGACCATTGGAATCAGGAAGTAATCATTATCCCATGGTTGATTCAGAACTGTCTCACTTATTCTATAAGGTACTCAAATCTAACTAATCTCCACCGATTCATAAGTAGGCTAGATTAGAGGTATGACACCCCATAGTTGTCAGTATTGGGGAAACTAGATTACACAAGTGAGTAAGCTGACTCTGGCTCAGTAGCTTCTCATAAGTGGAAGGCTGTTAGTCTGTGAAGGATGTAGACCGGCTTCATGTTAAAGGTAACAGGAAGGTATAAGGTTGGCATATGATCATGCATTTAGTCTCAGCCATATGGTTGTTAATATTGTGGTCCAGTGCAATTTAAAGGTATATAATTGGTATTATTGTGACCCTAGGTTGTGTATCATTGATATATATGCAACTATATAGATTAGGTGAAATTTGGTTACTGAGTGATTGTACTCACCCTTCTATTTAACATTTTAAAGGTACTAGTTTCGAGCAGGACAAAGGAAAAGCACTAGAGGCTTGAAAACTCAATTTCCTACTATAAGCCTTGTAACAGTCCTCACCCCACCCCACCGAGGGTCTTTCGAATTGGACCAATCCATATCACTGTAGCGGAAGCCAGCTTTGCCTAAGGTGGTACTTGAGTTATTCCTCACCCCACCAAAAAGGTCTTTTGGAGCCTTTCCAGACTCGAACCTCCAACCTCTATCACCTTAAGGAAGTTGAGGCTAAGTCTGGTACCATTGAGCCAACTTGACTCAATAGTACCAGACTTAGCCTCAACTTCCTTAAGGTGGTAGAGGTTGGAGGTTCGAGTCTAGGAAGGCTCCAAAAGATCTCTTTGGTGGGGTGAGGAATAACTCAAGTACCACCTTGGGAAAGCTAACTTCTACTATAGTGATATGGATTGGCCCAATCCGAAAGACCCTCGATGGGGTGGGGTGAGGACTATTATAGGCCTCTCGTAATTTTAGTTGCATATATGTAATTAATTAATATTGTCAACTAGGATGTTCATATTTTGTTATACTTGCACTATTGAATATTGAGCATTGAAATTTGTATTTTGGGCCCTAGCTAGTGAGTGTGGTATCTTTTTAGTTGAGATATTTGTGCAAGGGCAAAATACTTGTGCAAGTAAGAAGTGAGTATATTTGTGAATGATAGTGATTTAGATGTGAAATTACATATTTTGGCTCCCCCTTATGTTTTTATAATCAAAGGGTTGAGCGATAAAAATGTGATATAGGTATTGTTTGAATGTTGTGACATATTCCAACTGTATAGATTATGTTTTGGAAGCATAAAAGTGTGAGTTTGCTTTTTGATATGCAACTTTTGATTGAGAAATGATTTGAATGTAAAACTAATGTTATTAGTTAAATCTCAAAGAAAGCTTTCTATAAACACCTAGATCACCTCATTTGAACGTCAAATAGAGATTTGGTATGCATTGAAAGTTCAGCCAAAAAATATACCACAATAGCATGTTGCTATCATGGGTTCTATTGCTTATGCTGTAACATAAAATTTTATGCTATTTTGACCTTAATTTGATATTATCTTACCTTGTATGATGCCCATGCCACCGTATACATGTTTTGCTTTAATTTTATAGCATCTTAAGTTTTAAAAATTGAGAGCTCGTTTATAAAAATTTTACAAACTCGATAATTCATTTAGGTTATTCTTGTGATTACCTGAATTTTGTGGAGTTAATTGGGGACAAGTAAAGGTGACCTTACATAAGGGACTAAATTAACAAAAATTAAACAAATTTTACGGCTAGTTTATTCTCATTTAGCCACATATACATATTAAATTACCAAAATACTTTATACGTTAGATTAATTTGAGAGTAAATTTATTTTTTAAAATATAAAGGACTTACATGGTAGTTTAAAAAATATAAAAAATTAAATTGATAAAAATTAAAGTTAAATAATTAAATTGATAACTGAACTAAATTGGAAGGAATAAAAGTTTTATTATCTTATTATTTAAAATAGTAAACAAATAAAATTAAGAAATATGAATCACAGCTGGAGAATGAGAGGAAACCTTGGGGTCAGAAACGAGTCGGGCGCTGGAAATAAGTATTCCCACCATATGCAAATTGTCTCGCTTTGACTACGCCCCAACACACAATTTGTAAGTCAAATATTGGATAGAGGATGAGAATAAAGTCTCAAAACTGAGAATTTATAACAGTTAAATTTTTGTTTGAAATTTTGAGAAAACACAATCATCTGTGTCTATAATTTCATTAAATTTTACTTTTAGATTATGTAATTTTTTTTAATATTTTCATTCCTTATAATATTAATAAGATTGGGTGACATTTATTACTCAGGTCCCTATATTTTCAATGCTTTCATAAGATCAATAATTATAGGATCAATAATAGAGACTAAAAACAAAATTTGATAGAATTATAGGATCAATAATTATATGTTTTCTAAAATTTCTGGTGAACCAATGGGTGAACGGTTTAAACCGGCCAGACCACCTTGGAATATTTATCTTGCAGGGACTAGAAGTTGGAGTGTTGTCCGAAGGTGGACGTTTTGTTTCAAATAAACGGAAAATATTTTGGTCATGGCCTATTAAAAAATATTTTCAATTCAGTTCTTTAGCCTTGCAATATATTTTTCAGGTTCTATTGGTTTTCATTTAAAATTTCCTATTCCTTTTACCAAAATTCTCCCATTTTAATTTCATATTCCTTTGATCCTTGTTTTGCATCCTGACTGTGGGTTGGCACAAAAAAAAATTCTTAATGCCGGATTTTGATGAGATTTTCCCATTTTTGTCAATATCAAATCTCAAAAAAGTCTCACAAAAAACCCTTTTAATATATTGTCTCAGTTTCTTCAATACGTCTTCAAAATCAATCTAACAATAATAAAACATTCAAGACAATATAATTATTACATCTTATGATTTTTGAATTACATCTTTTAACACTTTCAATATATTTAACAGAAACTTATGTATTTAACCTTATATACTTAATATACTTATATCAAATCAAATCATGACATGTGAATCCTAATATATTAATTTAATTAATAACAAAAATTTATTATAAAAAAATCTATATGGTTATTTACTTTGCTAGCATGATAAAGAAAATACTATAATATCAGTATTGTTAATGCTTACATGGTATTTAAATTAATTCATGTATAATAATTTTAACTACCACCTGATATATGGTGCTTAACTGAAAATAATGCTTCTCTTTTTTCAAACTCCCGATTTACTAGTTAGGGGCGAAGTCGAATTTGGGGGATCTGCGGTGCTTTTTTGGACTCATATATGAGTTTTTTAATTTAAAAAATTTTAGTGGAAAAGTAGGAAAAAATTTATTTATTTGCTAGCATGATAAAGAAAATAAAAATATTATAGGTAATTAATTTCATATAATTAATTTTCATTTAAGAAATTTAACAACACTAAGTACGAGGATATTTTTCCTGTATTTTTAAAAATTAAACGATTAAAAATTTAATAAAATTAAAAGAATATTTTTGTTGAATTTAATTCTAGTAATAAAAATAGAATAAAGTGTGGATAAAAGTTCAACATTCCAATCATCTCATGTAAAAAAAAAAAAAATTGTCCATTCGAGTTTTAGCTTCAAAATGTTTAGATCTATATGCTAATTATTGGCACAAAATGAAAATAAGGTAGTTCTCCCTGATAATATTTCTTAAAGAAAAAAAAATTAAAAACTACTTTATCATTTACTGATCTAAACAGGCACAAAATATATATATATATATATTCTCATTTTTTAAATTTCCTTTCCTAATATTATCCCTTTCATGTACCCAACACAACCTCGATCCATACGGTGATGGCTGACCTTTGAAATGGCGGCGGAGGCGGCGGCCGGGAGGGCCAAACTTGGTCTCCTGAAAATCCATCTCTGCGTCGCTGTTTAAAGTCTTCTTCCGTATCGCTTTCGAAGTCTTCTTCGGCACTTTCGAAGTCTTCTTCCATAGCAGTGTTTGAATTTTAATTTCTTACCACACAGATGGAGATCTGGTTTCCTTTTAGCCCTTTAGAGCAGTGAGAGATCTGATTAGTGATATACAAAATGCTACATTAAATATTATTCCACATGCATTTCAGCGACACGTTTTTGTCATAAAATAAGGGAAATTACAAGTTGAGTAACCGACTAATTCGGCTTCCATGTGAATGATAATTTGAAAAAAAGGGGGGGAGAAGTCAAAAGGGGGAAATTATTAAAAAAAAAAAAACTAGCAAGTTGGAATTAGGGGAACAAGTTTCATTCCCTGGTGGTGAACTAATATTTGAACTTTTTGTCATGAGAGGCTTCCATATTTTGAGAGTTAAAGGATAATTTTGTTTCAAAAGTTTATCTGAAGAAGCAATTGATATCTTAAACTTTCAACTGAAGCAATTTCGCACTTGTAATAAATGAGTCATAAGGAATGCCTTAAAATAAATTCCATTGAATGGCAAGCAGAATATCTTTTGCATGTAACTTAAATATGTAACTAGCTAGGTATATGGTAAATGGTAGTGTAACTTTTTAGTTATCATGATCCACTAAAATTAAGTCCAAATAGCTTCAATTTGCCTCTCCCACCTTAGGTTGGTTGTAATATCTTGATTTTTTTTAGGAATGTAATTTAGGAGAAATGTATAGTTGAGGAATTTAAGTTGAGGAATTAATTGAGATTGAGGTTAATTAATCATCTAGGCATTTAATTATGATTTGAATTAGATCTAAGATCATATAAGAGGGTTACTTAGGGTCCAAAATGAGTATTGGGCTGGATTGGGCCCACAAAGTGGGCTTAAGTGAGGATTTTCATTGTTGTATCATTGGTCACAATTGATTGCACTTTTGGCCACGGTGGACAGCACATTTTCAAACATTTATGTGTCTGTTCGAAAAACAAACAAAAAGGAAAGGAAGAGTTAGGGTTTGGTGTGACTTTTCTTTTTTGGCTCTACTAGGGTTTCAACTTCTCCACCATTTGGGCACAAATTCTAGCTCCTAATCACTCAAGGTAACACTTCTAACCCTCCTCCTACCCTCTAATATCTAATATAATCTATTATCTTAGTGAGTTTAAGTAGTGATTAAAGTTAGGGTTTGAATCTAAAAAAACTCTAGCCATGGGGTTCAAATTTTATAGATTGTTTGAGGTTTAATAGGTGTTATTTAGGTTATTTTGATGCTGTTTAACTATCATGATGAAGTGATTGAATCCAAAAACCCTAGCTTAGTTGAGTGATATGATTAATGATGATTAGGGTGACTAAGGTTTAAATTTATGATTACGAAGTATAATAAGGATAAGTATGACTAAGTTTGATAATTAAAATGAATGGGAGTGTATTAGGGTTACGAGATTAATTAACCTAACCCTAAATTAAGGTGTGATAATCACAAATGTTAATTATGTTTAATATTGTATTATGTGTAGATAAAGATGTTGTAGGTGTTAATAGTGAGAAATCACTTGTTCAAGGAACTTTGATTTGCTAGGAGCAAAGGTAACCTCTACTATTATGTCATGGTATGTGTGGTGTAATTAGTTACGTGTTTTGAGGAGTACTTTGTTGTATGGAAAATATATATATTTGATTTGATTTGAACTAAATTATTATCCAGAAGTATGATTAAATTGTTTGGAATTATAATTGTTCAAAAATATCATGAGCATGTCTTGAAAAATGTATAACTATTGTTTGGAAAAACATATTGCTAGTGAGATGTAAAATTGTATATAAATATATTCGATATGGAATTATGATTTTAATGGATGTATGTTTAATTTTAGCAATTGCATTTGTTTGGAAATTCTATATTTATGTCATGTGTAGTTTTGTTAGGAGGGGAGTTAACATTGAGATTTGAATTTGTGCCAAGTGATACACCCTCATTAGATGCAATGAGTTGGACTAGCTCACCTTTAGCTAGGTCGGTTAGGCGCCGGGCATGGACCTTGGTTCATGGAGTAAGGAGGATATAATTTGTAGTTATGCATCACTTGTTTGGTTTATGTTTATATAAAGTGTTCGGAAATATGTTTTGTATGCCCACTTAGCAATCGCATGATTAGTTGCATAACATGCATTATGACATATTAGTATTGGTTATTGAGACCTTTGTGTTTCATTCTTTATGTTTACATTTTTACAAGGATGGGTCTAGTAAGAGAAGCGCACACCGAAGTCATAGTTGTGGTGTGTAGAACACCACTCTACTTAGTTATAGCATTAAGTGTATATTTTGCCAACCTAGGAGCATTCTTTGGTAAATGAGCATGTAGACTCCTAGCTCTTAACAAAACTTGTCTAATGTAACCATGAGATATGTTTTCAACACTTATGGCATTATTTTGTTATGATAAAGATAAGATTGAGGCATGTTTTGAGCATTATATCAAGTATGTAGATTTATATGGATTTTTCTTCTTATATTATGTTGGGTGGCTGTAATCTAACTGGTGCATTTATATGCATGTATAAGGTTGATATGATGATTTGTATTAGTCATTTTAAGTATATGAAATGTAGTCAAATTGTTCACACATGGGCTTTGGTGTTGGTTTTGTAAAGAGAGTTGTTTGGTAAAGTGTATTTTTTCTTGTAAGGGGGTTTTGTGGATAAAATCTCCATATGAAAGTATTTTTGTGCTAAATGAAAGCCATTAGATATATTATATTATAAGCTTCAAGTGTATATTTAAATAACTTGATTTGGATAAGTGCGCTAATAGTTATGCATATTTAAAGTTGAATTGTCATTGTTCATTTTATCAATGTTATTAGTACACTTCCGCCATGACTCACAATATAGAGGTGAGAGCGTTTCCTCTGTGTCATCCACCGAGGTGGATTGGCATATGGTGCATATTTCCAAAATGCCCTTCTTTAAAATTTTGTCTTCAGAAAGGTCCTTTTTGGACTCTTTTATCTTAATAAGCTTGTTTTTGGATTAAAATGCCCTTTTCACATTTGACCCCTTTGGAGATTTTAACAATGTAAATCATATTTTTGGGACCAAAATACCCTTGTTTGCTTTATTTAAATATTATTCATGATTTTGAAAATATATTGTTTTATAAACTCTTAATGTTGAATGGGGTCCCATTTGGTACTCATTTAATTATTATAGCTTCTTCCTAAATTATCATGGTAGGTTTTTATTATTATATTTAATTATATCTACCATAGTAAATTCTTTTCTGCCATGTTAATCCTTTCAAAAGTTAATTTGATTCTTAATTACCATGATAGATCCCTTACCATTGTAGGGTTTTAAAATGATAACTCTTTTTTTTTCTCATGGTAAACCCTTTATTACCATGGTAGCTTTTTGAGAAATATCTTTTGTTCTTTGTACCATGGTGGACACTTCTCTACCATGGTGAGGGATTTAAAAAGTTGAGTTTTGTGTTAAATATAATATTCTGGAGAGTAATGAGGTTTGAAAAATTAGTGCATTACATTTTGGTATCAAATCTTGTGTTTCAAGGTTCTATGTATTCATGATGTTTATGTATTGTATAGTAATTGTGCATTGCATTTAGTTCAGTTGGCAATACGCATTGTTAGTTATGGTGCTTTCTCCTTGTTCGGCTATTGTTACTATTGTGCATCCTTTAGGAGGGGAGAGAGAATGGCAACTAACGATAATCATGACCCTGACAAACAACATCATAGGGTTCAAAACATGCAACCCTAGCTGCTACCACAACCCCAATCTTCAAAACAATGCAATCCTCACAAAAATGAGGGACATGTTAAGAAACCTAAATGACCAAGAAAAGAGAATCTTATTGGGGCTCACATTGTGAGTCAAACTAGCAAAAGGAGTTTCCACAATAGGCCCCTGTCTACTCAGGTCCTACCAATAGGTGGTAAGAGGAATCAATGAGATTCCAACGGTTCGCGAAGCCAGGGTTAGAATCGTTCCTAAAGGGCCAAGGATAGAGTAATCGCCAAATTGTATATAAATTTATGAGTCACATTTCATTGGCTATTCTAATCATCATTTATTTTTTTAATTACATATAAAGATCATGATCCTTCCATGACATTTCAATAATTCAAGGTCTTCAATTGTCATTAATATACCTTTACAAGATCTATAATTGTGATTTTCCGTTATTATTAAAAGGCAAAATCCCCGCTAAAAAGATGGCAGGATGGCTTCGCTGACTTCTGAATTTTAATCGTGTAATTTACTAAAAGTATAACTATAAATAATTATAATTATAATTATAATCATGAATTTGTACTCATAATTATTTATATTGATATGCCTGCAGCTCAATGTATTGACTTTAGACAAAACTTGCTCAGCCCGGCCTAGTTGGAATGCCATTTGAAGAGACTTCACACTAGTTGAAACTCTTCTCTCATTTTTCTTATTCATTTCTTTCTCTCGATGGGAAATTTTCACATATACCCAATGCACCATGTCATTCGTACTCAATCCAATAAATACATGACATCCAAATGTCATTAAATATAAATTGATTATACTATTAATGATAATAAAGAGAGAAAATGCAAGAAATTAAATAGGCATTCTATTATAAAAATAAAATCATTAAAAATAATGGCACTTAAGATTTTATTTGATTGAATTTGTGCAATTTTATTAGATGGAGCATGTATAATGTGATGCACTGGGTTCATGTAATAATTTCTCTTCTTTTGGCTGCCATCACGTAGATGTATCAACTTTTTTCCAATATACTTGTAGATTTTGCTGCATTAACTGAATATATATTTTTAAACATATATTCTGGTGTTTATTATATAAGAGGTGTTTTATAAGCTTTTTTATTTTTAAGTCCACAATATAAAGGGTAATGTAATATCATCCAGTGGTTGACATATTATCTTGCTTAGGCTTAAACACTTTTTCCTATATATACAAAAGCCTACGTTGATGACTCAGGTATAATTGGCTAAAAGACATTTCCAAATGCCTTGGTTGTTATCTCTGCACTGTCGCTGAGCTACTTAGAAATTCTTGAGGGTCTCAATC